CATTGCCTAATATTGAATCGATAAATCCATAGCTTGCAGTATATAGATATAGGTAGGTAGGTAATTTCCTAAAATTATATCTGATACTGGTGGTTCCCCTAAAGTAGACCCTTTTCTAGTACACTAATTTTTAAGTATGTACTTATACATTAATTAATATATAACAATACAAAGTATTTAAAATAGTTTTGTATAATTATATATCATTTAAAAACTCCCATTTCTTTCAAAATTCAACTGTAGCGAAATCTCACGATTTCTTACGATTTATTTACAAATTTAAAAAATCCAAAATAACTTCGTTTGTCCATTCCATTTTTTAGCAAAAAACTGCAAAACAACTTTGACAACACTACAGACAACTACTCGTAAGAGCGAATAAAAAACTTCTGACTTGCATTTGTCGTCTGTTAAAACACAGACGCGCTAGGATCGCGTCGCACGAGCATATACCGCACCTTTGATGTTACCGACTCTAGATGGATAGGACGGACCAGCACAGACGTGCCTGCGCTACCACGGACGAGACCCTTCCCACGGTGCGTGGTGCGTGCTGGTCCGCTTACGTCCGTAATATCGCCGACCGTGGGAAGCCTGTATAACAAACTACATTATAACAGTAAAAAGAATAAAATACATAAAACAAAAATATTATGCAAATCATGAATGAGTTGCCTGTGTGAGTCCATTTCAAATAGGTAAAAATAAATAAAATAAGACTTACTCACAATCAATACTAATATTGATTGTGAGTAAGTCTTATTTTATTTGTTTTTAACTATTTTAAAATTATTATGGTGTGATATTGTGACATTCAATCCTTAACCAAATCGTATATATTCGGGTCCAGAGCAGGGCCAACTAACTTAATTTGTTCATTGGGCCATCTACTCTTATTTCTCATAGCATTTCTACTCAAACGTGAAGCAGTTCTGTGCAGCGCGGCTTGGAGTAAAACATTACATGCGAGACATATGTGTGCGGCGCGGCCTGTTGTGTTACATTCGTGCGAGGCACACTTTCCACACATGACGATCAACGTGTTAATAATATTAATTTTTTACCATAATTCATAATATACTCAGTGAACTAGAAATCCGAACACCCATTATAAATTATTATATTTTGAAAATGTTTTGTACAATTATACAGGGTAGCAAAATAAACAAACGATCAAAATTTCAAACACTATTACAACAACTTACAAGGGTAAATCAATTAATAATGTGTTGATGCAACTCGGTGGGCAAAATACTCTTGAATGCGCCTGGGCTCGCTTCTGATTAGGAGGTCAATATCCGCATGGGATATCTCGTTCCATGCGCTCCTCCCGAAGTGCTCCCAATGTCTGAGAAGGATGCTCTAAATTAAGAAGTCTCCGACCCCTGATATTCCACAAGTGTTCAATTGGTGATAAATCTGGGGATCTCAGACGAAGAGGAAACAAGATTGACTCTAACCTATTAAAGTAGTCCATGACAGAATATGAGATAGATTTCAGATTTTGTTCTATGTATCACTGATCTGTGAAGTTCCCTCTGACGAAGATTAGAGATGATCTTAAACCATAAGCGATGGCACCTCACACCATAGCCCCAACCACGTCGTCTTCTAATTCAGCCATCATGCATCACTAAAGAGGATCTAGATTGACCATTACTAAAAACAAGCCTATTCCATTCCTGGTTCCAAACTAACCGTTCCCTGTATTGGTATTGCAATTCTATATTGTATATTTTTATATGTTAAGTGTTACCTGCACTACCTGTTAGTGACACTAGTGTCAACATCAACAAGTAGAACCTAGAGAGATTGTAATCAGGAATTTGTGTTAAAATAAAATCGATTATTTTTGTCAACATATTGGTTAGTATTCCATCTATAAGCAGACTTTTTCCATCACGCATTCCTAAACCCTGCAACATTTAAAACGATTACGTCGATGTTCAGGGGTAAGAGGTAGCATCCAGTGTGATCGAAATGAAAAAAAGCCACAGCTGCCAATTCGACGATAAATTGTTCGCATCTATCTGGTAGCAGAGAAGCGGTCTCTTGGAGACATCAACCTTAGGTGAAGATGCTGAAGCTCTGTTGTTCTTCGGCGCTCCTTGTGCCCCTCGATCTTCGTGACCGCGTTCTTGATGTCATGCCCGATAAGCCTGTACGCCAAATTTTATTACAATAAAATAATTTCTGTGTTCGGATTTCTATGTCACTTAATATAATTACTGATCATGTTCCTATAAACAGATGAATTAATAGTAATAATAATTTTACACTTTAAGTATTTATTAATTCTCTACTTTTTCTACTAACCTAACAACAAAATAACAACGCCAAACTAGATGGCGTGCAACGGATTCACGAGGAAATTACCAATACTAAATCTTTCATTGAACTCACATACACAAATACCGGTATACTACTTAAGGAATAGAAATGTGTACTCCGACGCGCATGACGTCACCTGCGAAGCAACAGTACAGGGTACTACGGTGTTCGAGATGTAAGATTCCCTGTCCCGGTAGATGTATTAGTTCATCGTGCAGTAGATGAATTGTTTTTACAAATTAATCACTCCTGTAATAAGTCTTTAAATATTTTTGTTTTTGCAGATCTTTCACAATTGATCATGTTTTTATTATTGACAATAAAATAATCAACAAGGATTACTTTGAAGTACTACTAAATATATCAACTTCAGAATTGACAATTGCGCATAAATTGACACTACATCATTTCTGTTTAAAAGGTTCTATGAGGCAAAGAGTGAGACCTACAGTTCAATTGTTGTCAAATTATGTGGCAAAAGCTATTAGTTATGCTGGAGAAAATGGACTTACCTATGCCAAAGATAGTTACTGGAAGAAGTTCCTGTAATTTTTCAGCTATTTAATGATTTAATGATTGGTTTAATCCAATAAATTCTCGATGTAAGTTCGTTGTCAATTCTCCAACACGAAATGCATATGGTACAGATTTAGATGAAATGTCAGAAATGGTCAATTCAATGCGGGTTGGTAAACACAAAGGACTTATTCCATTTCAAAAAGGGATATTGCTTACTAATAAATCTCTGAAAGGGTTACTTTCTTACCTACAAGCAAAATACAACGGTGACTATGTTTTAACTTCAAGGTTGAATCAGGACGTGCTAGAGAACTTTTTTTCTTATATTCGAGAAATGGGTGGTGCAAATGACCATCCTTCGCCAATAGATTTTAAATACAGATTAAGATGGTATATTTTAGGAAAACATTCGGTGGCGATCTTTACAGAATGTCGCAATACTATTGAAACTAGTGAATCCTGCGTAAGTAACAGCTCAATAGAAAGTCCTCAATTGCCAAGCGATATTTCGACGTCAGAAGATATTTGCGTGACACAAAAAATGCTGTCTAATTTGGTAGAAAAAACTGAAGGTTCGAAAGAATTTCAGTCTGAAGAGGACAAAATACTTAAAATACATTTATAGAAGCTCACTACTTGGAGGAGGATCATATAATTGACGAGGACGTTTTGAAAGTCGCAGACAATTATGCGATGAAATAAAAAATTCATCGGCACTCTTTAAAGTATGTTGCTGGTTTTGTTGCATACAAATTCAAACATAAATATAGTTTAGGAAACCCTACAAAAACTTATGAGACATATATGGAACCAGATACAGACAGTCTCAAGAGTTTCTCTTTTGTACCTAAACGAAGAATTGTGGGAAGCTACACTAAAAATGGAATCATTGTTTTGTACAATCTATGAAAGCTCTTTATCAAAAAAACCTAAAATCTTTCAACAGCTGTTACAGAAAACTTTAGCTCAGCTTGAGAATACCACGATACCATTTAAGGTACTCCAATGTCTCAGTAGGACACGCACATATATAAGATTAAGAGAAATGAACAGACAGATTAGTTTCAGTAACTATTAAAGAAAACTCGACAAAAATATGTCAAAGTTTGTTAACTTTAAGAAATAAATTATAATAATGTAGTATAAAATATTCAATAAATCTTTATTATGAATTGTCGGCCGGATTCATTACTGAAACATTGTAAATTAAGCTAACATTGGAAAATACAAGTCAAAGTTCGAAGATATTTTGTAACACATTAATTTAAAACAATTTTCTCTTATTTTAAATGTTAATTAGGTGATTCAGAAAGTGCTCTCGTCGAAACGAAACGTTGAAAAAAGTTTTTTTTTATTTTTCAATAATCAGAAAACCTATACCCAAGAAAAAATAAAAACATTGTAAACTACACATCTTATAATATTAAAGTGCCAACATATGCATGCTTATATATATTTCGATTGCCCAGATATATTTGATATTAACCGACTAACAGGGCAAGCGTTAGTGTTCTAATAGAAACTTTGCTTCGCACGTGACGTCACACAGTGCGAGAGAGATAGAGCTAGCGTGCGCAATAGCATACCGGTATTTGTGTATCGTGATTGAACTGTTTTTCTTTATATCTTAGTCTTAACTATATATAGTATTCCAAATTAATTACTTACCTAAAAATATTTTTATCAGACTTAAACATACAATAGTACTGGTTCTTAAAAAATATTACAAAATATATTCATCACAGTTAGTTTTAGAGTTGATTACAATCATTATTGGAAGCTCATGGTTAAAAGTAATAGAAAAAGAAAATTTTACTTCTCTAACGAGAAAAAACCCTATACTTAAGTGTTTGAGATGTACATATCGACAGAATGATGGAGTGTTTTATCGGTTGTCATGAACAGAAATAAATTATTACTTCTGATCAATACAACAAAATGAGTGAATAATTGTAACAACTCTAAATTTTATAAATTTTCTGTTCTGTACTACAATTATATTTACAATGTATATTTGATATAAAAATATGTGCTTTCCACAAAATGTGCTATATTTGGAAGACACTTGAACGAATATTGTTTTAATATCAAAGATATAACACACATTAAATTGTCTTAATCAAACTCTACTGTTCTAATCGAAAAATATCTTAGTAATGACTAAAAAATTTCAACTAATACTAACATATGTTAATACCATTTAAATAAAAATTGATTTGAGAACAGCTAAGTTGATTTTGTTGTCATTATTTTATACAAATTTCATTATACATGGCTGCAAGAAACCGACCTTACCTCTTATTTTCTTCCTCTACAATGCCTAATGCTTCGAGCTCTCTAATCACGTTATTTAAATAATTCGGATCGGGATAACTGTGGCTATTCGTGCTAGGACCCATTTCAGTCTTGTGCGGAATGTTCCATGATACTACATCTTCGCAACCGGTGGTGTGGGATCTACTTACTGTGAAGATGAGTTTCCGTTGCCACGCAGTGTACAATAGCCTGAGAACTTTTTTACCTTTGGGATTATCTGGAAGATATGCCACTCTGGGGAAGCCCACGGCGTAGTACTCACGGCCTGGGTTGGGATGATCAGGTCCTTGTATACCAGACTGTATACTGAAAAAAATATAAGTAGAATATAAAGAAGTGACAATATTACCGTTTATAAAAGTTTTGCTATTACTCTGCGCAATTTTTAACAAGTGCATGGAATTGGAAACGATTTCAAAAGATTGGAGCTCTCAGATAAATTTCATGTATCAAAAGTGAAATAGAAGAAAAGGCAGTAATTATCGGGGTATTAGTTAAAAATATGGGGCATATTAGTTAAAAAACTCGAACATCGAAGTAAAAAACTTCTGTTGTAAGTGGTACATTTGATTAAAAAATTAAGTTAAAATCCCAATATTTTTATGTGCAAGTTCCCTATTATTTCCCTTATTTTAAAAATATACACGCCCTCATTGAACTACACGTGTCTCTCATCTCGGACCTCTCGAGGGTCTATAATTTCTAACCGATAACCTGACTATCCTATTGAATTCCGACTATAGAGTCATATAATATCTCACTGAAGCAATCATATGTATTACATTTTGAGACTCTACAAGGAAATATTTCAGTTAAATAGCTTACTTGTAAATAATCTGTATTGTCCTGCAATTTTGATGTCCAGGTAAGCTCCGATCAACTCTTCTCCACTCCATTGTACCAGGTGGCTGATTTCCATGTTTCTCTCCATATATACATCCACAAACAGCACACTGTATATGTAAGTGTGTGCCAAGTTCCTGTTGTTCCGTCAGAGCATAGTTCAGGCAATCCAAATGTAGAACATGATTGCATGGAAGAGCAATCACTACTATAGAAGGTTTGAGAGGTTGTCGACAGACAGGACATGGTTGTCTTGGAGCCCATTCACTCGATTTTGAGATTCTCACAAATCGTGATATAGTTGCACTAGCTGGATCTAAACCTATACAGAAACATTTTAAATATTATAGTAATATTTATAAAACTTTCTGTCTACAGTATCTACAATGTTGTATAGTGTCCTAACTTACCAACGATAGCTGGCAAATCTTCTACAATGCCATCGTCACTACCACTACAATTAATCAAATCTGCCGTGGAAGCTGTAGCTTGACTATCTCTACTCTCTTGACTCAGATAGGTTGAAACAGTGTCCAAGCTTGGCCTTCTACCTGATTTGGTACTGCTGCTATCTGCGTCTAATAATGTTTTATTTTCTGTACTTTGGAATAATGGTGTTACATTTGATTTGTGACCTTAAATAACAAGAGAAAATTATTTACTGCTTTTAACAGCGAAGAGAATAATGTATAGCTATAATTATCTCCAAAGAGAAAATATAATTTATAGTACCATCACAGGTTCTCATACACAAAGCGAAAATCATACCCCTTCACCACTGAGTAGGAACACTTTGTTTATTTACTAGTTAAAAATTAAACTTTAAATATTTTTATATTTGCAATCTATTGATCCCAATTTCAATAAAGTCTTTGGACCAAGACTTGGATCTTTAAGAGAATTCCTAAATACTGATAAACACAGAAGAATTATTATTAAATAGAAGAATTGTTCGACGATGAAAGACAAGAACCTAATATAGATAACTTGCAAGGCGACGAAGGACCAGAAATAACTAAAGAAGAACTATTATACGCTATAAAAATAATGAAAAATGGTAAATCACCGGGTCCAGACGGGCTCACATCAGAACTTCTTAAGCTTGTGGAAGGCGAATCAGTGAATATTCTACTCGACCTTTTTAACTGCATCTACAAAAGAGGAGAAATACCAAAGGAATGGCTACTTTCAACTTTTGTAACCTTACCAAAAAAGGCAAATGCAAAACAGTGCACTGACTACCGCACTATAAGCTTAATGGGGCATACATTAAAAGTATTCATCAAAGTAATCCACTCAAGAATTAACAGAAAACTAGATGCAGATATTAGTAATACTCAATTCGGATTTCGGAACGGGCTTGGAACAAGAGAAGCACTATTTGCACTTAACGTCATATGCCAAAGATGTCTAGATATAAACCAAGATATATAATATGTGCTTTATTGATTACAACAAAGCGTTTGATAAAGTTCGTCACGACCACTTAATGAAACTGCTAGTAGAAAAAAACTTGGATAAAAGGGACATTAGAATTATCTCTAAGATTTACTATAACCAGAAAGCAAATATCCGAATAGAGCAAGAGACAACGGAGGAAATCGAGATCAAGAAAGGCGTAAGACAGGGTTGTATACTCTCACCGACCTTATTCAATCTATACTCCGAAGACATTATAAACACAGCACTTTCGGATCAAAATATAGGTATTAAGATAAATGGCATCCGAATAAACAACTTGAGATATGCCGATGACACGGTACTAATCGCAGAAACTTGGGAAGATCTTCAAATACTAATTAACAAAATAGTAGAATGCAGTGAAGAACACGGATTATCACTTAACATAAGCAAAACAAAAATAATGCTAATATCTAAATCACCACAAAACTTCCCTGACATAACCGTGCATGATCAAAGAATCGAACGTGTAAGAAGATATAATTACCTGGGAACTGTTATCAACGAAAATAATGACTGCTCTGAAGAAATCAGAACCAGAATAGAGAAAGCTAGAGCCACATTTACTAAATTGAAAAAGGTGTTCTGCGGAAGAGATCTAAGTCTAAAACTTAAAATTCGCCTTTTGAGATGTTACGTTATGTCAGTTCTCCTCTACGGGATGGAAACATGGACATTGAAAAAGATCGATACCAAAAAGATAGAAGCATTTGAGTTGTGGATGTATCGTAGAATATTAAAAATACCCTGGACAGAGAAAGTAACAAATGTGGAGGTTTTGCGGAGAGTGCGGAAAGAGAAAGAGCTGATACTTACTGTTAAAAAGCGCAAACTACAATATTTGGGACATGTTATGAGGGGAGATAAATACCAGTTGCTGCAATTGATTATACAGGGAAAGATAATGGGAAAGAGATCTATAGGAAGAAGAAGGCATTCATGGTTGAAAAACTTGAGAGAATGGTACAATTGCACCAATTACCAACTGTTTAGATCTGCAGCATCAAAAATACGCATAGCTTTGATGATAGCCAAACTTCGGAACGAAGACGGCACTTGAAGAAGAAGATAAACAAAATTTGTATTATTAGACCATAGCGGATCTGTGAAAAAACGACTACATTTGGATGTGAGAGGTTGCACACCGGACTTTGCGAACTTCAGTAATTGACTTATCCTCCCTCTCAAATGAATGGGGAATATTAATAAAAAAATTTAAATATTTAACAATTACTACAAACATCGATTTTTTCTACTTTTCTCGCTTATAACTTAACAATTAATTTTGGAGCAAAGCTGTAACGAAATAAAATAACGATAATGAAATATTCTATAAGATACGGCTGGTTAAAAATATTTGAATTTATTACCCTTGCTAAAAAATAGCAATAAATGCAAAAAAGATGGTGAAACAAGCCTTTTTTAGGTTGCATTTTGGGTCTGTCATAATCCGTCTAGTAAATTTTCATAACATAACCCACCAAATTTCATTAAAACTGATTTAATAGATTTCGCATAATTTTGCATATTTTACATATACCCATTTTGAACTTTGAAATTACATTTTCTTCAACCTAATTTTTTTGGTATTTTTCACGTGAAATACCGATGGTTTTTATTATTATAATATATGTTATAAATATCTTGAAGATATAATTTTTATCGAGAAAGAGCTTCGAAAGAAAAATATAATGCTTTAAAGCAACCGCAACGCGTACCACTGGTAGTACACAAAGCACTTAAAGTTGGTACTCTAAACTAGAAGAAACGAAGAATTTTAATCAAATTTACTAACAGATGTTATTTTTACGTAGTGCATTAAAACGCTGTGAGTTTGAAACCATAAGCACGTAATGTCTTATTCATTTTTGACAACACTGGAATCACGGCCAATTGTCGCCGCTCTTGATTCACGTCCATTCACGTCATCAGTTTCCCTCGCAGCCGTCAGTCGTTGTGGTTGGTTTTGTCGAAAAGAGTAATTTGCTGTTACTGATTCGTGCTAATTTTTGCATATAATCCAAATCCATGGTCCATCCAGCTCCACTTCGTCGGAGCCTATACAGGGTGATGACAAAAGGAGTTCGTTCAAAAAACTAAAAGTGGAGGTTAGGAAATATGATCCTGAACACATTATTATGGGATTTACATTCACGAATATAAATGAGCAAGGCCCCAATGTCTGTTCGGAAATTAATTCTAACCAGTGTACGAAACCTTCGCAATTAAAACGCCACTTCAATACAAAACATTCAGTGTTGGAAAATAAACCTAAGGATTACTTCGTTCGGAAGTTAACGGGGATGAGAGGCACAACAAAATTAATGTCGAATTTCAACAGCGGCAACCAAAAATCAGTAGAGGCATCCTTCCTCGTGAGTTTAAGAATTGCGAAGTGCGGAAAAACGCATACCATCGGTGAAGAATTAGTTCTGCCTGTCGCACAAGATATGGTAACGTGTATTTTTGGGGAGAATTTAGGTAAACAACTTAGTATTATACCATTATCCAATGATACCGTACGTCGTAGGATTGAAATAATGGCATTAAATGTTAAAGAAAAATTGGCAAACCGGATGAAAAATAGTAGCTTTTTGCAATACAACTTGATGAAAGCAGAGATGTAACAAACTATGCTCAGGTGATGGTTTATGTGCGATATACATTTCAAACCAAAATCGAAGAACACTTATTTTGTGAGGCGTTAACGGAACGAAGTACTGCCGATGAAATATTCAAGAAAATCAATGAACATCTTGGCTTCAAAACCTGAGAAAGTGGTTTAATACATCCTCAACCGGACTATTCAGAATAGCAGCAAGCAAAGTTAGGATAGCCATGTTGATAGCCAACATCCGGAACGGATAGGCACCGTAAGAAGAAGAAGAAAAACTGCCAAAGTAAAACTGGTTGCAAATTGTACTTTTACCTATTGTAGTATTCACAGAGAAGCTTTGGTAGCAAAAGCGAATGCCAGATGAATTTAAACATGTTCTCCATGAAGCCGTTCAGATAGTCAATTTCATAAAATCTCGAACCTTAACCTCGCGTTTATTTTCAAAACTATTTAAAGATTATCTTAATTTTAACATAAAATAGCATTTTTAAATGCTAATTGATAGTTTTAAATAATACTTTGACATACGAGACTACGCTCAGTTTCTTTGGATACGACAACCATTTATTTTGGATAGCATTCCTGGAACATTAAAGTAGGATGAAAAAGAGTTGCCTGCCGTAGAGGATTTTGTAATACTTTCCGTTCACGTCATTCACGTTCAGCCGGCACCACAGTTACATTAAAATTCTCAGTCAATAGACTTCGCTGGAGTGCAGGGCAATTTTTTTCTCGGTCACATAGACCGAGACGGCAGGCAATGTGTTGATAGAACTATCTTGTGATTGGGGTTTGAAAATAGAGTTTTCAAAATTAGAATTAGCCGAATTCTGGCTAAATATTAAAAATGAATATCCAGCCTTATCAAAAAACATTTATATCATATATCATATCATTGTTATTTTTACTTCCTTTTACGACCACCTACCTGTGTGAAACTAAATTTTTTGCTATGCTACAAGTGAAAAATAAACTTCGCAGTAAGCTTAATCTTGATCCAAATCTACGAATGAAATTAAGCACAATTGATCCTGATATTGATTCACTTATAGCCATGCAGAACCATCATTCTCACTGAATTTTTGGACTGGGTTCAAAATTAGTAATTAGTAAATTTTATTATCTACTTTTTTAATATGTGTTACACGATTGAAGCAGAATTTATATAAGTGGTACGTGTAAAAAAAGTTTGAGAATCGCTGCTTTCGCTGAAAGTGGCTCATATTAATGACATTTTTGAAAATTGTCAAGATGTATTTAGCATTGGGAAAAATCCATGCATTAATGAGATGTTAATCGGGTTTATAGGCCGGTGCAAGTTCCCGAAGTACATACCAAATAAGCCACGAAAATATACCATAAAACTAATTCAGAAAAAAAATTAACCAAACCCACACAATCGGTAATTCGTCTATCAAAACCTCTATTTGGCAGTAATAGCAACATTACTGCAGATAATTGATTTTCTTCTCTTCAGCTGGTGAAAGAGTTACAGTCCAGAGGCTGTACCTGTGTCGGAACCATGAGAAAATTAAAAAGGGAAATACCTATGCATTATATGGATTTTCAAAACATGAAACGCTAGTTTTATATATTCCTAAGAGAAACAAGGTTGTAATCACCATTTTATCTATGAAACAAACCTGAAATAATACAATTCAACAAAAGGAGGCGTTGATGCACTAGATGAGAAATGCACCATTTACAGCTCATCAAGGAGAACTCGATGTTGGCCAATGGCTATTTTTTTATCAAATATTAGACATGAGTTGTGTCAATGCATTTGTCATATCTAATTGTTTCAAAAATAATAAAATTACATCCCGAATCAAATTACTGAAGGTACTAGAGAAAAGCTGACACCTTTTATGAGGAAACGATTTGAAAATCCTAGAATTAGCTTAGATATAAGAAACTCGATATGAAGAATACTTCATGAATTCCATCTAAACTTCATAGAAAGATATTTTACTGATACTATGATTGTAAAAAGCCTATATATTTATCATGTAGTAAGAAAATATGCACAAAGTGTGCTTCAAAATAATCGTAACGAAAATAAATGTCGTTTAAAATTAATGTAGGTTGCCTGTTAACAACACAGGCAGTTGTGAATCCGAAATTAGAAGACGCATTCAACTAGCAAGAGCAGCAATGAATGAACTAAACGGGGTCTTGCGTGATCGTCACATTACTATGACAAACAAAAAGAGACTCGTTTCAACTCTGGTCTTTTCCATATTTTACTATGCATGCGAGACATGGACAGTCAAAGAATCAGATCGACGACGTATAGACGCCTTTGAAATGTGGACATGGAGACGCCTGCTTCGAATTCCATGGACGGCTCGCCGTACAAATATCTCGGTTCTGGATGAAATTAAACCGGATCAGCGTCTCTCCAGTACCGTTTACTCTAGAATTTTAAAGTTCTTTGGCCATATCCATCGAAGTGATCACAAAATGGAGCGGTTGGTGGTCCAAGGAAGGCCTCAGACTCAACGCCAACGCGGAAGATCTCCACAGCGATGGGCGGACATTACTAAAAAGCTTCTCAATAAACAGTATACTGAGGCAATACATATAACTGATGACCGCGACCAGTGGAGAAATATTATCAATCAAACTGTCCGAGCTGCTGAAGCCCAATTATGAACCACAACACATCTACTAAGATGTTAATGACTGTGATGATGTTACCCTTTATAATCTAAACTTTGCAAAAAAACACTTTTTTAATTGATGAAATTGTGAAGGCTTGTTATAATAAGGAGAAATTTCAGTATTATTGTAAAATAAAGGTATTTTAATAACCGTATTTTACATAATACTTATATTATATTATATTAAGTTGCGAGGCGCACAAACCCAAAATTGAAGTCCGCTTAGGGTGGATTAGGTGGTTGTCATCAGTCTCCTCCCAGTAGTCAGGTGCGTAACACAAAAGTGAAGTGCGGTGTTATTTTCAGATTCTTATTATTTGGATAGTTAAGTGTTTGGCATTTCTTTAAATGATGGCGTTAGAAAGTAATAGAAAGACTAATTCTGTTATTAATGGACAATCTCGTGAGATCATATATAATGTGTTTAATTATTTCAAAAATTTTAAGCTCGAAGCAGATACCTTGAAAACTGTGAAAGAAACAACAGCTAAAGCAACAGGTAAGTTTGTACAATAAATTAATTTTAATTCGCTATCAAATGAACTGAAAATAATCGAGAGTTTTTAACTTTGCCTTTATATTTTATTAGTCATATCTGCTTAATTCATTCTCTTTTAGTTGTATAACGTACTTTCGTGGTTGTATCATATGGCATTCTTCTTTTTCATGTGCCGTGCTCGATTATCGAGCGTTGGCTATCAAATTGGCTATAGTAATTTTGTTGACGGCAGCTCGGAAAAGGGATGCAGAGGATCTGTTAAACCATTCTCTCAGGTTTCTAAGCCATGACGTTCTTCTTCGACCTGTCCACTCTTCTTCCGTCTACCTTGCCTTGTATTATTAAGTGGAGTATATTATATCTCTCTGGGTGTCGCATAACATGGCCAAAATATTCAAGTTTGCAACGGCATAGCTTTTTAAATAAACATATTTGCAAAAATTTGTGAAATTATAATTATTGTATGTACATCGGTCTTACTCTCGATAATTGAAAGACATTTTTTAACATACTTAAATTATTACACCTATTAGCACATGACTATATTGTGTACTGTCTTTCGGTATGGCAGTAAATATAGACTTTTTATACTTACATACTAGATAAAATGAATCACTATAGTTACTTTTACAGGAATTTCCATCAGAACAATCGAAAGGATAACAAGAGAGGCAAAATGTTCTTTGAAAAATACCGACAGAGTCCAGTTTGCCAGTCCAGGCAAAAAACGAGTAAGGAGATCAATCATAGATTTGCCGGAATACCAAACAAGAGACATTCGCAGAATAATCTACGATTTTTATAAAACAGACAAATGTCGGGTTACGGTAAAAAAATTAAAACAAAAAATTCATAACGATTTGGATATCACAATTTCACAGACATCTCTAAGGCGACTTCTACGCAAAATGCAATTTCGTTGGAGGAGAACCGAAAACAACCGAAAATTGCTTATAGAAAAAAGTGAAATACGAGCTTTGAGAATAAAATATCTCAGGCAAATCAAACATTTTCGTACTCAAAATAGGCCAATTGTGTATGTTGACGAGACTTACTTACACAGCGGTCATACTTCTTCGAAGAACTGGACTGACGAATCAACAAAGGGATTATTTTCTAATATTTCCAAAGGTCAACGACTAATAATAGTGCATGCCGGTGGAGACATGGGATTCATTAAGAATGGATTATTAATCTTCAAGTCAGGTACAAAATCAGGGGATTTCCACTCTGAAATGAATGCACATAATTATGGAAAGTGGTTACAAGAACGTTTAATACCTAATTTACCTGCTAACTCGGTACTAGTTTTTGATAACGCATCTTATCATAGTATTCAGTTAGAGCGGGCGCCTACATCAAACTAAAAAAAAATGAAATGATAGAATGGTTAATACAGAAAAATATTCCATTTATACCTACCGCTTTAAAACCGGAATTATATGAAACCATTAAATATCATAAACCCCGTCATGTAAAATACAAGTTCGACGAAATTTTACGCGAGCATGGCCATATTCCTTTGCGTTTACCTCCGTACCATCCTGACCTAAACCCGATTGAACTTATATGGGCTACAGTCAAAAATAATGTAAGCCAGAAAAGCGTTACATTTAAATTAGCTGACGTACAAAAACTGGCTGAGGAAGAGTTCAATAAAATTGATGCAAATGAGTGGAGAAAACGATGTGACCATGTCATTAAGAAGGAAGATGAATACATGGACAGCGAGATAGTGGTTGATAACGCCATGGAAATAGCTCCTATTATTATAAATATTACAGCGAATCTTCCAGTACAGAGTTTTCTTCTGATGATGAAGATGAAGAAAATTAACCATTAGAAAATTATTTTCAGTTACTATTTTTCTACACTTGATACTCGTTTTAGTGTTATAATAAAACCAAAATATCAAAATTAAATAATTACTGTGTTACATTTATTTATACAATACCCTCCATTTAATATGAAAGACAATATCAACGTAGTTTTATTTGTTAATTAAATTCAGTCATAATTATTATTGTGTTTGTATGTTAAATTAAAGAGATATTATAAACCAGTGGCTTTCTATTTAAATTGACTAAAAAAATAATAACAATTTCATCTTTCTAATGATATATTAAAGCTTGCGAAAAAATATTACTACTTTTTTAATTGTGTAATAATTATTTGAACTATACCGTTACGCCACTGAAACTACTTATCAGAAATAGTAAACCAATAGGAGAATCATGGGGCGTAAACATAATCTATTTCTCAGTGACGTTGTGCGTATTCCGTCGCCAAGTTAACTGGCGTTTGCTGTACCTATGAGCGAATAAAGTTCATCCAGTTGTAACTTATTTCAGTGAAATTTTTTCAAATACCTATTTTTTTTAATTTTTTTAAAAAGGAGTCCGTGAGATTCCACATCAAGCTCAATGTAACTGAAATACAGGTTAAAAATATAAAACTAATCCAAGTAAACTTACTAAATATATTTAAATTGTTGAGAATCTGCCTTGCCAAATTGGCAGGTGTGGTTTCATTCCCAGTTTTTGTTTTACTGCTTGTTTTCTTCTTATTGGTAGATTTTTTATTGCCATCAGTTTGATTCAAAATTGCACTACTGCCTATCACTTTGGTACCATTACCTTGCTGAGAACTATTTGGTGTCCTAGATGAGTTTCTTATATTTGAACTTCTACGTCCTATAAAAAAAATAAATAATAAGTAAACTTTGTTAATGTGGGTGTCTTGCACAATATTTTCTAATGGTTACTGGATAGCAAGATATTCACATCCGCTAAAGCCCTTCTGTAGGGCCAATAAAAATCTATTTAGAGTAGAGAAAGCTCTTTAATATTTTAAGTTATTAACAAATTTCAACCAAAGATGTCCTTTGGGACAAAATTTGAAATGTTAATTTCAAATTACACTTTAATTAAAAATATTACTATAATACTAATATCTATTTAAAAAAATTACTTTTTGTAATCAAAAAGTTAAAATTGTTGTTAAAAAATTATTACGGCAATGAATTCAGACTACCCCAAATACTAATGACCAAAATTTCATAAAAGTAAATTTATTATATCGAAGTTACAACAAAGTTTGTAAAACAGACAAAAATTAACACTCTGTATCACCAAATAGCAATGGAAACTTTAAAAACTGAAAGTGTTTATTCCAATTTTGAGGGCATATACAGGGTGTCACAAAAAGATTGGTCATAAATTATACCATGATTTTTGTGGATAAAAATAACTGTTAAAAGTTAAAAAATAAACCAAATTTTTAAATATTGCTCCAAAAATTTTTTATGAAAATTTATATTATGTGGATAGCATGCCATGGCCACTAAACTGAAACAGTCAAAATTATTTTTCTCAATTTTATGGATGTTTAGAGGTGGCCTATAAACCATTGCCCTCTATTAATAATATAATATTGGAATAGAAATGTCAATGGAATGAAATATATATTTTACAACTTTTTTTTCTGTTAGTATTTGTTTGTAAAATCATTAATTTAGAAGATATAGCCACATTTTCTGAAATGGCAGATATGCACTTAGTCTTAGGTAAGAATAACAACTATGGAAATATTGCGGATGTAACTAATAATATTTTACATAATCTTGAAATTATCATCTGTTAGAACTAAGACAGAGAATGGTTAAGTGCTATGTTTGGTCCGTTCTTCTGTATAGTTGGACGCTATATATAAGTGTGGACGCTAAAAGTATTGATCATGAACAAAATTGAAGCATTGGAAATGTGGGTTCATAGATGAATGCTAAAGATAACTTGGACAGCAAGGAAAACTAATGAAGAAGTACTAAGGAGCGTCAACAAAGATAGAGAACTGCTAAAGACTATTAAACAACGAAAAATGTCTTATCTGGGACATATAGTAAGGGGAATATATCCTTAAAGGCAAAATAGGAGACCGTGGAGGTGTAGGAAGGAAACAAGTTTCTTGGTTGAGAAACATTCCTGAATGGACTCAGATATCAAATGCGGGACAATTATTCCATATTGCAGAAGATCGAGAACCCTTCACAATGGTGATCGCCAATGTCACATAATTCTGATAATATTCTTCTACTAATGCAAAGAACCACACATTTGCCAGACTGTCACACAGACATAGAATGTGCTCTGCTGTTACTTCTTCGAGGTGATAGAATCTGCATGGATCAGCTAATCCGATCAGCTTCAAGGGCCTATTCAGCTTAGAGTGCCCTGTTAGAAGACCTACTATGTCTGACTGTTTTCCTGTCTTTGCTTATTAGGTCTGCCGTAAATTTTGATCAGTATTTTCTAATGAACACTCGCCAATGATGGCAATTAGATCCTATAATGGCAACCCTTCAGATTTCCTGACTGCTACAAAAGAGTCAATCGAGTATATTTATAATCTAGATGTTTGTTTGTAGAATATTTTTATATTTACTGTTGTTTGTAATTTATATCAATGATGGCCTGTCTTTGTCCTGGTGAATTCCTCCACCATTCAAGAGAGAGATTTGTGAGCTACCCACTTCCTTGTAGCTGTTCTTGTTAGTGTCTTGCAACACCACAGAAGGGTTCCGGTCCAATTAATGGCATTGATGAGCCTTGTTTGACCATTTTATCTGCTTTTTCATTGCCCTTATGACCCTCGTGCCCTGGTACTCAGGCTACTGTAACCTTGATACTGTCTGCTAGTTTATTTAGGGCACACACACAATCCCATACTAGTTTAGAATTGACCTCTACAAGATTGAGTGCCTTAAGTGTGGCATTACTATCTGTGAAGATGGCAACTGAACAGAATGTTCTTTCCTGCCTTTCTATTTCTTCACACAGTGATGGATTGCCGTTATTTCCGCCTGGAAAACTGTCACATCCTTAGATAGACTTACAGGGAAATGCATCCCTTGATTTGTCCCTACTATGCCGGCTCCCATACCCTCCAATGTTTTTGAGCCATCTGTGTACCAGATAGCAGCAGCTTGTATGGGTACACCTTTATTCCAGTCTTCCCTGCCTGATATCTTAATTGTGAACTTATTGTTAAAGCTATATCTCGTAGCTGTTGCATCGATGGGTTGCCCCATCACAATATAGGATTTTAGCTCCTTGATTAGCTTTCTGTTGTCAGCACCTTGCATCTGGCTTAATATGTCGCCAACTATGGATTAATCTGTGCATCACTGATCTGGCTTGGGCCTGTATAAAGATATGCAGTGATAGATTCAGCAGGACTTCCAATGATGTAGTAGGAGTTGTTTTTTTTACTATAGACTAAGTTGATTTTTAATGGGTTTGACCCAAACTTAGTTTTTTAGGTGGAGAAGCTTTTTCACTGGTCGTATTTAAAGAGTTGCTATCTTAGTTGCTATCTTAGTTGCAAAAAAGGTCAATTACTCTGTGATAAGTTTTACTCCTTATTCTGATAGGATCTTATCAATACAACTACAGTCTAAAAAAGGTATAGTAAATTTTATTCAAGTTTATGCTCCTACGGCAGATAAAGATGACGACGATATCGAACTGTTTTACCATGATTTGGAACAAGTCTTAAAATCAATGAAAAAACATCACACTACAATAGTAATGGGCGACTTCAATGCCAAAGTTGGCCAGGGAAGAGTGGATGGATATGTGGGGGAATATGGTCTAGGAAATAGAAATGAACGTGGTGACCGTTTGATACAATTTTGCCAGACGGAAGAATTTGTAATAGCTAATACACTTTTTAAGCTACCAAAAAGAAGGTTGTATACATGGAAATCTCCCGGTGATACAACGAATAGAATAATCCGAAATCAAATTGACTTTGTCCTTATTAGACAAAGATTTCGTAATTCTATACTGTCTGCCAAAACTTACCCTGGAGCAGACATCGGTTCAGACCATAACCCCATAGTAGTCACATTACGAACCAAATTAAAACTGGTTAAAAAACCCACACAAAGTAGAATTGATATTAAGAGATTAAGGGAACCACAAACAAAGGAACAAACTGTAAAAACTCTTACTGAAAATATACGTAATGCCCAAGAACTGAATAAAAGTAGCTATAACATTGATCAGAAATGGGAAAATATAAAAGCAGCAATAATTAAAACAGCAAATGAAAACTTAAAACCAAAGAATAGAAAACATAAAGATTGGATGACTGAAGAAATACTACTATTAATGAATGAAAGAAAATCATTCAAAACAAAAAATCCAATTAAATATAATGAAACTGATCGATTAATAAAAAAGAGAATAAAAGAAGCTAAGGAGAGAATGTTACATGAGCAGTGCCAAGAACTAGAAGAAATTGAGAAAAAATATGACTTTTTTAACATGCATAAAAGAATTAGAGAATTAACAGGAATGAGAAAAACACTTCAAACTAGGCAACTAAGAGATGAAAGGGGTGCACTTATAACAGATATAAACCAAAAAATGCAGAGATGGACACAATATATAGCACAACTATTTGAAGACAAAGAGAGAACAGAAGCACCAAAAGAATTTAAGGATGATACTGGGCCTGACATTATACGAGAAGAAATTGAATATGCAATGAAACAAGCTAAAGATGGTAAATCTCCCGGGCCTGATGAAGTTCCTATCGAATTACTTAAAATTGTGAATACTGAATCTATTGATCTTCTTTTGGATCTATTCAATACCATATATAGAACAGGTATAATACCTAAAGAATGGCTCCAATCAACATTCATACTGCTTCCCAAAAAAGCCAATGCAAAGGAGTGCAATGAACATCGCACCATAGCCTTAATGAGTCATGTCTTGAAATTGTTTTTAAAAGTAATTCACAATAGAATACATAAGAAATTAGATGAAGGCATAAGTAATACACAAATGGGATTTAGGAAAGGACTGGGAACACGAGATGCACTGTTTGCAATAAGTGTTCTTTCGCAGAGATGCTTAGATATTAATCAGGAAGTATATGCCTGTTTCATTGATTTTGAGAAGGCATTTGACAGAGTGCAGCATAATCGACTTAAAGAAATTTTATTAAATAAAAACATAGACAGTAGAGACATTAGAATCATCTGTAACCTCTATTGGAATCAAACAGCAAAAGTGAAAGTTGAAAACGAACTGACCAAGGATATCCAGATTCGCCGTGGGGTCCGCCAAGGGTGTATTTTATCACCCTTGTTATTCAATTTATACAGTGAAGCCATCTCAGAATTAGCGCTTGCCGAGATCAGTGAGGGCCTTATAATAAACGGTGAGCCACTTAATAACATAAGATATGCTGACGACACCGTCCTTTTGGCAGGAACACTAGAAGAACTGCAACACCTTGCTGAACAACTAAATATATATTGCAACGATTATGGACTAAAAATCAATTTGAAGAAAACAAAGTTCATGGTATTTACAAAAGCACAAAACATCAAAGTTAAGCTAGTACTAGACAATACAGAAATTGAACAAATATCTTCGTACAAATACCTTGGAGCATGGATCACAGAAGATACTGATCAGACAAAATAAATTTTTGGTAGTTCCAGTAGGTTTTATTACCCAGTAGGATGCGTTCATTTATTTCATCTGTTCTATCATTTCTGTCATTTACCATCACTCCCAGGTATTTGAAATGGTGTACTCTTTCAAATGTATATGCACCAAGCTTAATTTCTTTCTCTATATTCGTATTCTCTCTTGAACACTTGAGGTATTTCGTTTTGCTTTGGTTTATTACTAGCCCTCTCTTCTTTGCTTCTTTATCTAGTATTAATATTATGTTCTGCATGGTTTTTAAATCTCTAGTAACCAGTGCAATATCGTCTGCATACGCAATCAGTTGGGCTGAAGATTCGATAATCGTTCCCATAATTTTGGCTGCTCTTACTGCGCCCTCTATGGCAATGTTAAATAATGTTGTTGACAGGGAGTCTCCCTGTCTGACACCTACCTCCATTTGTACTTTTTCCTTTGTTAAGATTCGTGCCTTGGATTCCTTCATCATCATTTTCGTGAGACTTATTAATTTTTCTTGGATGCCTAATTGATTCATATCCTTAATTAGCTCCTCCCTTATTACACTGTCAAAAGCTTGCTTGTAGTCAATAAACAGTATATGTAGATCTATTCCGTGCTCGTAACTTTTTTCGACTATTTGCGTTACAATGTGTATTGCATCTATTGTTGACTTACCTTCTCTGAATCCATGTTGGTATTCACCTATTTTTGTTCTAGTTTCTTTTTCTATTCTTTGTCTGATCAAATTAGTTAATATTTTGTACATTGTATTTAATAACGTGATTCCCCTGTAGTTAGTGCATTTCGTCTTGTCGCCTTTTTTAGGGATTGGTGTTATCAGACGGTCAGATAGCTCAGCGGGCTGTGCGGCTGCCTCTCATTCGCTTCACAGTCGAATGGTTCAGTGGATGTGGGTCGAGCCCCAGCTCGGTGTACAGAAAACAAAAAGTCTAACGCAGCAGTTTAAAATTCTAGATGAATCTGCGGCTTAGACTAGGATATGCTGGGATCTGATCGGCCTATGGTGGAGCAGTACGGCAAGAGATAAGGGCTTGCGGCTCGGTGATACTCCTCCATAGATCCCTACCGGACGGGCGTAACGCCTAAAAAACCGGATATATATATATATATATATATTATATATATATATATATATATATATATATATATATTATATATATATATATATATATATAATATATATATATATATATATATATATATATATATATATGTTATCAGACCACAATTCCAGTCATTCGGCATGCTTTCTTCTTCCCATATTCGTTCTATTAGGTTGTGGATTCTGTGGGCTAGTTCCTCTCCCCCTTTCTTAAAGAACTCATTTATAATATGTCTGGTCCTGCTGCTTTCCTTGTCTTTAATCTGTTTATAGTCGCCAATACTTCGCTGTATGAGGGAGGCTCTGATTGTTCTCCATTCCTATTTTCTGTTTGTTCTTCATTTTCTGCGTTTTCAGCATCGTCTTTCTTTTTAAACAGTTCTCTATAGTGTGTTTCCCATTCTATTTTTCCAATATTTGCTGGTATCTCTTTTTTTCTCTGTGATTTTATGTATTTGTATAGTCTTGCATTGTCATTACTATTGGCTTCGAGTTCCTGCAGTAATTCTTCGATCCATTTCTTCTTTTTTGTTTTGCAGCATTTGTCTGACTCTTTCTTCTTCTCTTTATAGTGTAGGAGATCTTCTTGTTTCCCTGTGGCCACCCACCTGTGTCTTGCTTTGTCCTTGTCTTTACTAGCTTGCTCGCATTCTTCATCGTACCAATCCTTTCTTTTATTGTCTTCCATTAGTCCTATCGTCTCCTCTGCTGTTGTTAAGATACTATCTTTTATGTCTTCCCATGTTTTATCTATGTTCGATGGTTTTAGGACTAGTAGTTTTTCTTCCAATTTAGTGCAGAATTTTCTGTTTGCATTATCTGTATTTAGTTTCGACCGATTCCACCTCTTTCTTTTCTTTCTGTCGTTTTTATCTTTAAGTATCTTCAATTTCATGTCGCCTATCACCAAAATGTGATCCGAATCAGCATTGGCTCCCCTGTAAGACCTTACATTCTGTAAAATTGTTCTCCATTTTTTTGAGATTAGGATGTGGTCTATTTGGTTTCCATCTGTTGTTCCAGGTATTAGCCACGTTACTTTGTGCTCTTTTTGTGCTTGAATTGAGTGCTAATAATAAAAGTATTGGTTGCTGCTGCTAGATTACATATTCTCCTGCCATTGTTATTCGTATTTTGATGGATTGTTTCTTTTCCTGCGATTTCTCTGTTCGTGTCTTCTTTCCCTATCTTTGCGTTGAAGTCTCCTAATAGGATTAGTATGTCGTTCTTTGGTATTTCTTCGTACAATTCTTCAAGTTTATCATAGAATTCATTCTTTTCTTCTTCAGGAGCATTCTCAGTAGGGGCATATATGTTAACAAATGTTAAATTTGCTTGTTTATTTTTCATTCTAATATATGATATTCTTCCATCAACCGCTTTAAAGTTAATAATCTTGTCTCTTACGCTGTTACTAACTAGAAAGGCAGTTCCATTGCGCCCCTGTTTGCTTTCTCCTGCGTAGTACATTGTGTAATTTCTTCTAGCAATCATCCCTTCTCCTGCCCACCTTATTTCTTGTAGCGCTAGTATTCCCATCTTGTATTTTATCATTTCTTTTGCCAACTCTTCCATTTTGCCTGGTCTTAGAAGTGTTTTGATATTCCACGTTCCTATTCTTATTTTTCTATTTTTGTTTCTTGCTTTATTTTGTTTTGTTTTGTTTTTGCGTCTTTTCTTACAAAACAGTTTTATGTCCGTATTCATTGCCAACTCCGTTATACTGTCGCTGTCTTTTGTTATATTTTTTGTTAGTTTTTTGAAGCCATTTTCATCAATTTTCCTCTTGGATCTATATTATCAGATATGGGAGATCTGTCGTTTATTGTCCTAGCGTTACCCTTCTTCTCTTCAGGTTTCTTCCAGTAATTTACATCTATGCCTTCTAGTTGCTCCAGTGAGAACGGTTCACCATTTATCCATAATTTATTGTATTTTAATGCGGCTGTGTGTCCTTCCTGGCGTACCATTTTTCATGTACTGGAGAAGATGCTTCCTTTCTTGTAGTATTTTCTTCGGGAAGTCCTCATTGATATATATTTTAGTTCCTCTTAGGTTTTTAGCAGCCTTCAGAATTTCCATTCTCGTAGCTTCCTTTTTCATTTCTACTATGATGGGTCTGAGTACATTTTGGGGATCACCTTGTCTGCCTATTCTTCTCATCTCTACCAGTTCTTCATCTAGGTTTATTTGTACGCCGATTTTTTTCGTTATCCCCTTTATCTTATTTATCATCTCTTGTTCGCTTTCTGTTTGGTTTTCTTCAACCCCCTGTATTACTATGTTTTTTCTTCTAGCTTGTCTTTCCAGTATTGTGATTCTAACTTCTTGTTCTGTGATTTTAGTTCTCATTGCTTTGTTAGCTGCCTTTAACTGTTTGTTTTCTTTATTTAATTTAATATAATAGTTAATATAATAGTTTGACAAATATTTCACATTTCAAAAATTCCTCACTTACTAACTATTCTGATGTTTTGGCAACTCTGTGGGGTTCTAATGACGTATATCTTGAATGACATGCAAGCTTTTTTATATGAAAAATGCTCTATGTTAACTTACTGGCTGCTTCCAATCTAAATGGGTCACATCATATAATAAAATAGAATGTCTAGCATTATTATTTCCCATGTAATATTTTTAGAATAAAGTCCCTAGTGATGTTGAAAAGAAAATCTAGGACTAACTATAAATAATGAATGAAAAATAAAGAATATAAGTACATTCAGAACATTTACTTCACAATGGTCACCACTGCAAATTTTTTTAAATAAAATTTTAAACAAAGATGGAAAGTTGTTAAGATATCTGAAATCAATAATGTGTTTTTTCTTAAACCTAATATTAGAGTAGCTATAAAATTTATTTTACCAGTAACAGGAGCCAATTCCTCAAGTTTTACTTTAACCAAAGGGTAAGGAGCCTGCTTGATTCTTCTCACATTTCTTAGATATCCATTATTTAACCATCTTTGAGTCAAATTACTAAAATTTATGAGGTATGGAAAGCCTAGGTGTGTTTTGCTCATATCCAACATTTCATCACCCTTAAAATAAAAAAAGATGTGTAAAAATGACATAAGCTTATTTTTTTTGTGACTTACTGTGGCCCAAGCTTCCTCAATCAAACACTGTATATCCATATCAAAAGGATGCCAATCTTGACTGTGTTCTGTTCCTGAACATTCCCATCTAGCACCCTTGCCAGCAGGGGAAGAAGGAGAGTAGCATTTTCTTCTAACAGGAACCACATCATCTGAAATATTTGTTAAAATTACAAATTAAATTAGAATTTAACTTCAATATACACTGATACAAGGGATACATTGTCTCCCTGAGATATATAATATTCTATAATGTTAAAATATCACAAGGATATGAAGATATGTAGAGAAATCTTAAATAAATACACTTTTCATAAGGACAACTAGTAAATTTATAAGTTATTATTTATTTTATTTATTTAAGTTTAGTTAAAAAGACATAACTACTATATTCAAGCAAAACTGTCTACAATGGACAGGGCATGTAATATGGGTGCAACACAAGAAAATCAGTGCTTTAAACTGGAAAACCTGAACAACAAACATCATAGAATGGCACATGACACTTGAACTGGAATAAAACTATTTCAAAATAAACCAAATTAAAAATACTACAAGCTCAAACATAAAAAAATAAGACTATTAACCAGTGTACAAAAATTGTATAACTAAAATATTATAGTTAAATAGCAAGATAGCAAACCTCATTTCTAGTTAATAATTGTTGTTTCATGGATAAACTGTAAAAGTATATATAATTATGATTAAGTATCTTTCATTCAGAAATTCAGTATCTTTCTAAAATGTACAATTTTATTATTCTATTGTGGTAAAAGCCTGAGTGCAAGAAAATAGAAAGACACACTTTTGAGGCAATTAGAATAGTTAAGACAACTGTGGCAAATAAGAAGCGGGAAATATCCTTTTAAATTATTTAAAAGATGATTACTCTTATCATGTCAGTATTTTGCACACTAAGAATTTAATTATTTACTTTTAACTACAACTGGTATATTAAAAACAGAGCTTATTTGAATTTTCGTAACATGTGATTTCAAATTAACTACCTGTATCTTCAAGTTCTTGGGTCAGGGTTCTTAAATTAATATAGTAATTCTGTAATGTGGGATCAGCATCAGAAAGTATTACTCGAGTCAATTGTTTTCCTTTAGCTCTTTCTAAATGTTGACTAACTGCAGGACTATAGGGCTTCCAGTAGCCTGACCTAATTTCATATTCCCACACGACCACTGCGTGACCAGTCATTATTATGGTAAATGGCTAATTATCTGTTGATCATTTTAATTTGTAGATTGTTTACTAGGTTCTTCCAACACTAAAAAATATGCTTGTCCCCGACAAAGCTCTTCCAAGTAATTATTGCACCATTATATTAAACATGTACGTTACTTAATTTATATGCAAAAATTTTATTTGTTTATTTTCTTTTTACAAGCGAGGACATCAGCATAAGCAACTCTAATGTCTTCGTGTCAATGTCATTCATTCAATATATCTTATCTTAGGCAAATTTTAAACTTGTATTTGAGCTAATCTCGCAGTTTAAGGATAAAAGATATTTTCACACTGTATTAAAGCACACAGTATCCCAGAATAATATGCTATTTCTTCCACAGAATAAATTTCTGTGTTTATTCTGTGTCTTTCATAAAGATAAATAAATTTTATAATAACTTACTTCTGAAAATTTGTGAAAATGCATTTGGCGAACTGGCATGATTTGTTGGTGATATGTAATACTTTACCACAGAATAATAAAACAATTGTTATTATTCTATGGTAATACATTTAATGATTTTAGAGATTTATCCCCTGGGATATTGATATTACCCAATAAAGGACGAAGAAGAAGAAGAAGGACTAAAAGAAGAACTTTTAGAGGTTATAAGTTATAAAATATATTGGTTTAAATATCATCATAATTATTTAATGATATCTAACACAAAATGTTATGTTCATGTATAAGTCGTTTACTATTGAAACAAAACTTATTAGTTTATCAGTGTAAAGCTTTATTATCAACTGTCAATGAGAACATACTAAGTTCTTCCATACCAACCATAACAGAATCTACAGCTCCAATTTGTGACACCAATATATTAAAAGTAGCAATTATAGGAATGCCAAATGCTGGCAAAAGCACCTTAATAAATGGTTTAATGGATAGAAAGGTATGTTTTTATGGAGATGTCTTCAATTGTATTTTGCAAGTATATTTTTTTGTAGGTATGTCCAGCCTCATCAAAAGTACATACTACTAGAACACAAGCAAAAGCAATATTTACCGCTGAAGATACTCAAATAATATTTACCGACACGCCTGGACTTGTTAATGATAGGGAGCAAAAGAAGTAAAAGGTTTTTCTATTCATTTGTTTACATGTACAAATTTTAATTATTTTCAGATTTAATCTACAAAAGACCTTCTTAAGGGATTATAAAAGAGTTTCTAGGGAAGCTGATATTATTGGAGTTATTCACGATGTTTCAAATATCTGGACTAGAGAAAGACTAGATATAAAAATTATAAAGCTATTAGAAGCACATAAAACAAAACCCAGCTTTCTAGTACTTAACAAGGTAATAATGCTTATTTTGTTTTTGATTTTTTTACAGAGTCATCACACAATTTAAACATAATGTGAATATGTTTTATACTTATACAATTTTAATACATATTACAGACATACTACTTCATATTCATTCAACCATGTTTTAACTCCTCAGTATAAATTTAAAATAAAATTCAGTAATTCTCCTAATTGTTCATGTGTACAACAAAGCACATTAAATTAGGCTGTTCTACAATAATTAATGAAGTAAAATTGTTATTAGAAAGAAAAATACCTCAAATAACCCAAATACCCCAAATTACCATCCTGTATAACCTAATCCAATTATTAAGATCGGAAGATTATAATATTTATTCAATTGTTTATCATCAATTTATCATAGCATATCTTTTAAGATTATAAGCTATTTTTTACCTATGTTTATAGCCCTAAGTATATCTGAGATCCACTTGTTACATCTAAATCCTCTGATCGACCATGGGCATATAATTTCTACCCCAGTTTAATATCCACAATTATATAAAAAAGAACAGATGACATAAACATAAAAAAATTTTTATGAAACTAAAAAAATCGGAGGGAAAACAAAACACTACAAAAAAAAATCCAAAATATAAATCTATAATAGAAATAAAACATAACTAATTTTTTGGGTTCTACGACTGACCTCTGCAACACAGCAGTTGTCACTGGCGTCAAACAGCAGTAGTCACTGGCGTCAAACAGCAGTAGGATCGTCCCCTTCTGGTTAATCCTGTCCTGTACAACTATTCCAAGACTTCCATAACCGATCTTTCTGAAACCATACTGCCTGGGTGACAACCTACCTGACTCTCCAATGTCTGTGTTACCTCACCCTCTTAGAATCGTATCATATAATTTACCTAAACATGACAAAAGGCAAACAGGTCAATACTTGTCTTCCCCTGTTAGGAGTAGTACAAACCTCAAAATCATGTTCTAAATGCCACACTTGTTCCAAACTGCTGATGCATTTGACTGCTATTAGGGCAGTCAATGCACATCACTGCACTCTATGCCAGTGACAAGATGGGAACAGTTCTCAAGTAACCTCTACTTCTTATCAAGTGGCATCTCCTACAGAGGGTGCATCATGATGATTTTGTACCCCTGATTCCGTACATTCCCATCACAAATTGTCTCTTTAGTGCCTCTTTTTCTCGGTTCTGATCTTGTTGAGTTTATTTTTTTCCATATCATATGGTATATCCAGTCTACTAGCTTGCCTTTTCCTCTTGCGTCATAGCATGTCTTCTGACAGCCATTCATTCCTTCCTCTTACTGGAAAACTCTTTTTACCACCAATAAGGCATTTTTTATCTTTCATCTAAACGGTTCCCAGAGTTCCTCAAAGTTTCTCTTATCATTGATTCGAGTCCTTCTGCCAATGGAGGTTAGCATCTCACTGTCTTTAACATCTATATGAAGTACTCATTAAGTGGTTTAAAAAAATGGTTAAAAAGATTGGTTCGCTGATGATTCCATGATATACAGCGTAAATTTCTGCTCACAAAAGTTGGTTCCCAATCAGTATTTAAGACAACTAGGTCTAGAGTTGTGGTCAAATTTGATATCAGTCCCAGGATAGGTACGAACTCCATGCAATTGATTTCTGTATTTTTGGCTGATCAATGTAGTCAATTTGGTTGCTTACAAGGTGGTCATAGAAAAACTTATAAAACAACATTTTTTTTACATTTATGTGGAGTTTGTTCTGATTGTACCAATTTTATAGTGTCTTTTAGGCTATCTATAACTTTCCAAAATTTCAAGTCATCTGCCAACACTTGACATTTGCTATTTAGGAAACAGGAAGGAATGGGAACATTAAAAAAAGTGGAGAAGTGTGGGCTCCTTGAGAAACTCCAGATGTTACTGAGATACTGTCAGACAGACGACAAGCTATCTTGACTCTTTGACTTATATCATATCTAGAGTTTTTAATCCATTCACCAAACTTTACATGAATCTGTGTGACCTACATGATCAAATGCTTTGGAAAAATCTGTGTAAATTGAATCTACCTGTTTGCCTGCCATTTGAGATCATATATTAGATTGATAGCAAACCAAGTTTGTTGCAGTGGATCTTTTGCTTTGAAAACCATGTTCTGTTTGAGATATTAAGCCTTTACAGAACCAAGAAAGTTGCTTTATTTTAAGATAGTTGAAGAGCTTAGGGATTGTAAATTGTATACAAATGCTACAATAATTTTCAATTTTGTCTTTCTGAACATTTTTAAATATAGAAAAAATATAACTTTCTTTCCATGAAGAAGGAAACATAGAGGTTTCCAGAGATCCATTAAACAATATAACAAACAGCATCTGGACCAGCAGCATGCTTACTGGGCAGCTCACTTATGCCATCAAAAATATCAGTCATGGTAATTTTAGAAGGACAAAATTTGTACTAAAGTTGCTAATTAATGGATGGATAGGTACATACAGTTTGTTGTTATTTGGCAAATATACAGTATGGAAGAAGTTTGTAAATAAATTCGCTATGTCTTGACCATTTGTTGCTGATTGGGTTTTTTAAATAAGGAGTTAGGTAGGTTACGACTAGATCGCTTATCATTAAAGTACTTCCAAAATGATTTTGGATGATTTTAAGGCCAGTGTCTATACCTTTGCTATAGTTGCTGAAGCAAATGTCAAACAGTTGTTTACATTCAGCTCTTAGGTGAGAACATCTAATACAGTCATCATCAGAACAATTATTAACATAAATATAATGAGCATGATTTTTCTCCCGAGTCATTCTTCTCAGATCAGCAAAAAACCACTTGAGACAAGTTCTATATTTCTTCAATGGCACAAAATAAGCAATTCCTATAGAAAGAACTAAATAGGATAATTTTGTAGCAACATCAATATCATTAACCATACATGCCTGCCAGTCTATGGAAGCAAAGAAGTAGTTAAGTGCTTTGTAATCGCAATTCCGAAAATCAAACCAAATTATTTCTATTTGTTTATTTCACATCGAGGCTTAAGCAACATTCATAACGCACATGATGGATGCTAGAATCTACAAGAAGATATTTACTTAATGCTTTTAAGATATTTAGCTTCCTAACATTAGAAAAAACTAAATCTAAAACACATACTCTTAAAACACGCTCTGTTTTACACTTATCCGCCATTTTACCTCAATAACCTCTTACCCTCCTTCCAACTTCAACTTTCACACTTCTGATAAATTTCCTGAACTTGAGACACCAAGTAGACATTGATCTGTGACCCCCTCGTCACAGTTGAAGCACCTTCAGCGTTACTCTGACAGGGATTGTATATAACCCTCCATACCGCATTTATTGCAGTACCCTTGTGCTTTTCCCTCGCAGCTTCTTACTATCTGGCCATGTACCTGGCATCTATAACATCGTGTCGCCTTTACCTTCTCCTTCACTGTGACATGGACCATCCCGATCTTTATCCTTTCTGCCAGTAAATATACCTATTGGTAATTTTATAGTCTCCTCATTTTCTCCCCATCTTATGTTTTTTTCTATTTTTGCAACTACTTCACATGCTTCCTGCCAGCAAACTTCTCCACCGATTCCATATCTTTTTCTTTTGGTTCGACCATCTCTGTCCATCAGCAGCAACACCTTTCATTTTTTCACCTTTTACCAGCATTTGTTTG